TTCAAACTATTCGAAGGAGGTGAAAATGAAGATGGGAATGATCAATGGAAGAGGAAAGATAAAAATTACAGGTCACGTGTGAAATGGGCATTTTGGATATTACATAATATGAAATGAGATGGCATCTTTTAATGAGCATTTTAGATATTTCAAAAATATGAATGGCATGACATTTCGTGGATGGGCCGGTGGAGTGAATTGAGTTTTAATATCCCCATTTCATAAAATGGGAATATTTCAATTCTCCTACACTACTTTTGACGATAAAATATTTCTAAAGGGTTGGTGCATAAATTCTCCAAATTATAAAATCCTTGTTACAATGATAAGGGATCAACTATGATATGGAAAATATATGATATCTAGGGGTGGCAAATGGGTGGGTTAGGTTGGATTGGGTAAGTGTTGAATACCAACCGACCCATATTGACCCTCTAACCCACCATGATCCATCATCAATCATTGTTAAAGGGCCATAGTCCACCCTAACCCACTTGAACCATTAACCCTTAATCATCTTCACCTATATTAACCCACCTACCCTCACTTATAAATATAAAAATGGATTGGAACGGCTCGTATATCCGAAATAATAACTTTTGAGAGAATAATCTCTCTAAAGACTGCCACGTGACAAAAACAAGTCGGGTCAATCCGTATACCCAAAATGCAAAAATTATTGATAAATGCAGCAAATAGTAGAAAATTACAGAAAATGCAAAAAATACCAAAAGATTTTAAAAATTCAGAAAAATACAAAAAAATACCAGAAAGTTATGAAAATGAAAAAAAATACTAAAAATTGTAGAAAATTCAGAAATTTTATAGAAAAATAAAAAGATATGTAAAAAATACCAGAAAATGCATGAAAAAACACCAAATAAATGCAAAAATTATGTAAAAAAGCACAAAAAATTTGTAGAAAATGCAGAAAAATACCAGAAAATGAAGAAAAATACCAAAAAATTGCAAAAAATGCATAACTTTTATAAAAGTGCTTTACTTCTGTAAAAGTGCTTTCATAAAAGTACTTTCAAAAAGTACTTTCATAAAAACACTTTTATATAAACGTGCTTTTATGTTGTCATAAAAGTGATTTCATAAAAGTACTTTTATAAAAGTTCTTTCATGTAAAAGTGCTTTCGTGTAAAAGTACTTTTGTAAAAGTGCTTATGTAAAAGTACTTTTATAAAAGTGCTTTTATGCTTTCATAAAAGTGTTTTCATAAAAGTGATTTCATGTAAAAGTACTTTTGTAAAGTGCTTTCATAAAAGTATTTTCGTAAAAGTACTTTCATAAAGTGATTTTGTAAAAGTATTTTTATAGAAGTGCTTTGGTGTAAAAATACTTTTGTAAAAGTGTTTTCATAAAAGTTATTTTCATAAAATTACTTTATAAAATTATTTTTGTAAAAGTGTGTGTAAAATTGCATATGAACACGTAAGTTAATAAAACATATTTTATTTCAATTTTAATCTTTAAATGAAATGTGGTATGATGGTTTGGAATTATAATGAAATATGGATTAGGAGGTTTGAGTTCAAGTCACTTCGCATGTTATTTTTTTGAGATTTGACAAGTATAAATAGAATTGAGTTTGACTCAACCCATCCTAACATGCACGATCAATCCTAATAGGTACCCTTGACCCAATCCAACTTACCCTTTTCCACTCACTCAAATGAATTACTCAACCCATATTGACCCACGGATGGTCAAATGGATTGGGGTCAACATTGCCGGCCATAATGTTATCCTAAAAATAATTGACCAATAATTCAGAATCATAAAATTTATCAAAATTGATGGGTGTGTTTTGACTGTTTTAGACTATAAAAAAGAGGGAAAAATCTAGCCCAGAGTACTTTTCCCAAAAATCTATTATGCCGGAAAGGCATGATACCGGTATGATTTTGACCAATCACAACCTCCCGTCAATTTTGATGAAAACGCGCTAAACAACAAATGTCAGTGCGTCATCACACGAACGTCTCCCATCGGCCACGCTAATTTCAAATGCGGTCCGTTGAACGGTCTAACCGTTCAGGCGGTCCGGTCCAACCAAATTCAGCCACGGCAGTACAGGCTGTACAGTCACATCTCTCGTTTTCAAWTACGATCGGTCGAATGGTCTAACCGTCCAGGCGATCCGACCCTTCCAAGTCAGCCACGGCAGTACGGTCCACATACGCATTATATCTAACAGACTRGCACCTCTCRCGTGGTGTCAGGCCTATTATTAAAATGTGCTCCCAAAGACCCAAAAGTAGATTTTTACATTTTCTTTCATTTTTTTATTTCTCCTTCTGCCTTGCTCGACTAGATAAACTGTAGTCAATATCTCTGATTTCTATACTACGTAAGACATATCTTACCCGTCCAACAATTTTCCACCTTTGATCYGACGGTCAAGGCGTTCCATTTTTTCTAACACATTGTTGACCTGAAGTCGTCGTCTATCATTTTGACCAGTCTCGTAGTCTTGTACTCTTGAGTCTTGGATCCATATTTGCAGATCTTCTTCCTCTCTTTCGCAAATCAGAAGAGTTCGATTTCGATCATGTCTATCTTTTATCTTCTACTTCTCTTCTTCTCCTTCTTCCTCTGTAACCCTTCTTCGTCTACGGCCCAACAACAACAGGAACAAAGTTTCTCCGCCTTCAACATCTCGAACTCACCATGGACACCAACCCAGAACC